GAGGTGTGGGCAGGGACACCTCTGTCCTGAACTCTGCCTGTTTTGGCTGTTTGAAAAAGCCGAGAAACCTTCCAAGTCTCCACCAAATTGCCTGTGGATGAAGTGTCATGTAGCTTATCAGGATGTGGTTTTACAGTAACAATGAACGTGATAGAATAAATGGGAAGTGGCAACCTGTTGACAGCGATACCTGTCAAGTAGTATCATCCCGTGGACTTGGGTTGCTACATGGTAGGAATTTGATTTGCCATCTTGCATGCTTGCATGTACGTCGTTGCTGGATGCAGAGATGTCCTTTCTAGGGTTGTTGACTTTTGGAAGCCAATCACTAGGAGGGGCCCACTATCTACTGGCACAACCTGGACTCCCAGTCTTGAAAGTGGCTCAGTCCCCATTGTAAGCCACCACTAACCAAAGGGAGTGAATGGCTGGTCTAGTGTGTGTGGCCTGTAAGTTCGGGAAAAAGGATTTCTAGGGTGACAAAGGAATTGATGAGGTCATACTGCCTTTGGGTTGGGCAGGACGCTGCAGCTGTAGCATTGGTCACCACAGCTATATCCCCATGTCAGTCCAGTAAGTAGGAGTTGTCTAGATGTGTTGGATAAGCCCCATGTAGCCAGAGTAGCCAGCTGTGGGCATGCTACTTGCTCACAGTCCCATTGGCAAAGCAAGATCTGCACCCATAGGTTCATTCAGCTGAAGAACAGTGAGGCTGAAGGGCTACCCGTTGAGCTCTGCATGGCCAGGGGAGCAGGCACTTCACAGTGGTTGCTGCAATTTGACTTTGTAGGAAATATGATTTTGACTGGTTTGCCCAGTTTGGGCCTTCAGTTGTTATCATTTCCCTACCATGTGATCTAGTTTTCACATCAACTTTCCGTGACATCTTCTAAGTCTCCATCTCCAACACTGGCCTTTCTGATCACTAACCTCCTGCCTCTAGTTGTTCTTTTCACTTTGTCATGGATTGCTTTGATACCAAGTAGTTTGATCCAAGCCAACTCTAGCCACAGTCCATGCCAGAACAATCTCTAAAGTCACCTTGGTGCCTGTCTTAGGTCTTCATGCATTTCTCAGCAAGCCTTGCAACCTGATTCCAACAGCAGACCTTTTCTCAGAAACTGCAACTTAAAAGTTCAGGGCCAAGCTACCTGGTGAGCCTTTTAATTCGTCCCCCTTTCTAATTTGATCACTAGTCTCACCCTCTTAGTAGTTTTCTGGACACAGAATTCTTTAAATTGCAAGATACAAAACTGACTTAGTACAGACTTAGGCCTGCTTATCTGTGTGGCAAAGGAGCTATACTGCTTCCTAGTTGTGTGACCTTGAGCAAGTTGTTTAACCTTTCTGTCACAGTGCTAGGTGAGTTGCATAAAGTCCTTAGCAGGGTTGACTGCCATTGCTACCCATGGACCAGTGATACCACTGTTTTGACCCCTTTTGTACAGTATCCTGTTTCTCAAGATAAAAAGATAAAAAACAAAGGCTTGCTGACATTTCCCCTCATATACTATCCTAGCTTGGCCACACCATGTCTCTGCCCCAGGGTTTTTGCTTTTCCTCTAGGTGTCTTCTACAATGACCTCCTTTTGCCCTTGTTAACATCTGGCTCTATCTGTTGCATCCTTAGGTGGGTACTTTTGGAAACTGTTTCCTGTTTCCCAGCTTTTTCCCCCCTTGCTTTGTTTTACTAGAATATTTGTCATCATATGACATCATAGATACTTTTCTTGTTATTATCCATCTTCCCCACTGATATGTAAGCTCTGTGAGGCAGTGTTTTGTCTGTCTTGTGCTTAACACATATTAATGCCTTATGGAAGGCATTCATCAAATAATTGATTAATGAATTTAGTAAGCTTACAGAGGGAAAAAGTCAGAAATTTTTCTAGGACTGTCTGCTGCTGAGTCCAAGAGCTAGACAATTTTCCTGCTACTGCAAGATGTGTACCTACCCTTTTCAGGGCCTCAGGGTCCCACCTGTGCTGTGTATGTCTTTAAAGCCCCCATTGCCCTTAACACTTACTAATGTCTTCATTTATTGTTTTCATTTTGTAGTTCTACACTGACTTCTTAGCTTTTAACATGTAGCATGCTTCCCCATCCTGTACCACTCTTTGTCTCCAACTCCTGACTCTGAGTCTTCTTCCTAATAGCATATTCTATCTGAGAAAGCACAGATTTGACTTCCTATGGTCTCTGCACAACTACCAGACCCCCGTCCTGGTCTTATTTAAGATCTGTTAGAACTAAGTGTGTTGACCTGTCTGCCCTCTGCAGTGGTCCTTTGGTTGCCAGGAAACTAACTTTGCCCCTTTGGGTCTCCCTTCTGGCTCCTTAGTGATTGCTGTTCTTTTCAGTCATTCCTAAGCACCTTTGATGCCAACACCTTTAGAGAGGTAGTTTGTTAAATTCCCATTGAGTTGACCACTGTTAGGCTATTGTAGGTTCTAGGAAATAAAGTGATAGTATTGCTTGACCTGCCAGCTATGTCCAGGCCCCAGGATCCTTGTCTCTTGTTAGTGATAGCACCTCTCAGAGTAGACTGCAAGTGAATATTTAAATAAGTTAATTTAACCTAGACAAGCCTATGGCTTTTAGGTTGAACCTTCAGCAAGGCATAACCACCCCACTGAATCCCTTCATTATATGCTGCTTACATAGATGATGTCTTCCGTCTCTTGTTCTCTCTGGGGTCTTAAGAATGTGAGTTGTGGGGGCTGGAGAGATGGCTCAGAGGTTAAGAGTACTGGCTTCTCTTCCAGTGGTCCTCAGTTCAATTCCCAGCAACCACATGGTGGCTCAGAACCATGTATGGTGGAATCTGATTCTGGTATAAAGGTGTACATGCAGATAGAGCACCATATACATAATGAAATCTTTAAAAAAAAAGAGTTGTGTAGGTGCAACCAAGCTGTCACCCATGGGCATGGTCGTGTGTGTATATCTGCACCTGCACCAGTGTGCATGGCATGTGCATGTTTCCGTGCATGTGGGAGTGTGCATGTGTGTGCGCACGTGTTTCTGTCTATAGCCTTTCTTTATGTAGACCTCTGGTTTTGTGGCTAGCCTCTGATCTGCCTTCTCTGTTGTGTCATCCCTCTTTTTACGCATCCTCTGTAGCAGAGCTTCCTAGGATTATATCCTTCCCTCTTGTGGTTTTGGTGCTTACTCCCAGTTCGTGTGGTTGTCTCCACCAGACCTCTTCAGGGCTTCAGAGTTGTGTGGCCTGAGTACTTGTGAGACAGGGCTGCCTGCAACATCCCTCTATTCTTCTCTCTAGGCTTCTGCCTAGGTACCAGAGTGTGTCTGCAGAGAAGCCTTTTTCTTCACCTCCTTTTTTCTCCTTTCCACCCTATAGGGTCTGCAAGCATAGACCATTCCTGTGACACTTTCTTACTGTTTCCAGAGCTGCTTCTACATCTTTGTTTTGGAGAACTGTCCCAACACCTGGTGCAATCACCTATACCTGGTATAGCTGTGAGTCTTCTCTATAAGGAGAGTTGCTTCCCTCTTGGTAGCTCACTATCCTCAGCCTAGAGCACCCAGGACCCTTTCTGCCTTGACTCTAGCTTTTTCCTGTATTGCCCTGCCTACCCCCAATATTAGGCTCCCTTCCCAACAGACACCCTCCCTCTACTGGGAATGGATCTATGCTGCCACTCCTGGTGACCTCAGCACGCTGCATCACTGTCCTGTCCACGTGCCACGTTGTGGGCCCAGGAGAGGGGGTCCATGGGTAGCAGAGTGCCTGGCCATATCTCTGAGGTCCCTAGTGCCACAGAGTTGAGCTGAGGGTCTCGCTCACCCTCTGACTGACTGACCCAGCCCTTGAAGGTGAGTGGATTGATAGCCTGAAGGAGGCCATGCACTCTGTGTGTTCCTGAAATGGTGACCTCCTGCTGCATGCTTGCTTATCCACTAGGCTGAATTACGGGAGTGCTGTGGGAAAGTTTAGTTTTTTATTTTTAGTCTTAATCCTTTTTGAGCTCTAAGACTATTTTTGTGCCTCTGAAATAGGGATTAAAGTGAATAGTTGATAAAATATTTAATTTAGGGCTTAAAATTTAGATTCTGAAGAAAACTAATGAGATTTTTTTCCCCTGATGTCTAAAAGGCTTCCTTAAAGGCAGTTATCTTAGCCCTTTACTACATCATAGATAACATTTGACTTTTAACTTGATATTGGAGAAGTGGAAGGTTTCTGTCATTTTGTGACGATATTTTTAAATTTCTTTGCAGGTGGAAGAAGAAAGGTGCCACTTTGGCATGAAGATAGACTCACTTAGACGCCAATCTTTTAAGCTGAGTGCATTGTGATTTCCAATAATTGAGGCAGTGGTTCTAAAAGCTGTCTACATTAATGAAAAGAGCAATGTGGCCAGCTTGACTAAGCCGCCAGTGTGTGCAGCGCGGGCAGGACGCCACCGGGTCTCGACGGACTTGTGCATGTTAGCAGTATAGATTTATGTAAGGTGGTTTAAAACTCTGGTGTTTTAAAATAGTCTTAACTGCTCATAATATGGAGACATATGAGAGTCCCTCTCCTCTCCCGCGTGAGCCCGCAGGAGAAGCGATGATGGAGAACCGAGCTTGCCCCTTCCAAGTGCTGCCCCATGAACAGTCTCCACCACCTCCCCTGCAAACGTCCAGTGATGCAGAGGTAATGGACGTTGGCTCTGGTGGTGATGGACAGTCCGAACCTCCTGCCGAGGACCCATTCAACTTCTACGGAGCTTCTCTTCTCTCCAAAGGATCCTTCTCTAAGGGCCGCCTCCTCATAGACCCGAACTGTAGTGGCCACAGCCCACGCACTGCCCGGCACGCACCCGCAGTCCGGAAGTTCTCCCCAGACCTTAAGTTGCTTAAGGATGTAAAGATTAGTGTGAGCTTTACTGAGAGCTGTAGGAGTAAGGACAGGAAGGTGCTGTACACAGGAGTAGAACGCAGCACTCGGGCTGAATGTAGCCTGCTCCTTAGTCCTGTCAGTGGGGACGTGCATGCTTGTCCCTTTGGCGGGAGTGTTGGTAATGGGGTAGGCCTAGGGGGTGAAAGTGCAGATAAGAAGGATGAGGAAAATGAGCTGGATCAGGAAAAGAGAGTGGAGTATGCAGTGCTCGATGAGTTAGAAGATTTTACTGACAATTTGGAGCTAGATGAAGAAGGAGCAGGCGGGTTCACGGCTAAAGCAATCGTTCAAAGAGACAGAGTGGATGAAGAGGCCTTGAATTTCTCCTATGAGGTATGTTGGTGACCTGTTCTCTGGAGGGCTCTGAGCAAAACCCAAAGAGGTTTGGAAGTGGCTTTGTCTTTTGAAAGCAGGGAAATCAAAGCAAAACCTGGTGTGAGGGCAAATAACATTAATGTGGAAAAGAAAAGGATGTAAGAAGTTTACATTTCTAAAGTTTCTTAGTGGAAAGCTTGGCTAACATTGAGCTGGATCTCTTTCCAACCCGAGTCAGCAGGTGCTGCTGCAAAGCCTCTTTGGCTGGGTGTGTTCCTGGACCAGGCGTGTTGGTTTCACTTGTCATTTCATCCTGTTTGTTTTTCAGATGATCAAATGCCATCAGGGCATACCCAGTCCCAGTTGAGGGTCTCTCTGTGTATTCCCTCACACATTCGAAACTTGTCCTTGGTACAGAAGCACGGAGGGCTGTAGTATCTGAACACCTTGTTTTGCAGGATGACTTTGACAATGATGTGGATGCTTTGCTAGAAGAAGGTCTTTGTGCTCCCAAGAAGAGACGAATGGAGGAAAAATATGGCGTTGACAGTGATCATCCATCTGATGGAGAGACAAGTGTGCAGCCAATGATGACCAAGATTAAAACAGTGCTCAAGAGTGAGTGAGCTGGTCACAAATCCTGATGCTTCAAGGCCCCAGAAGGTTTTTCCCTAGAATATTTTGGGAGTCCTCTGGTATCAGACATCAGCCTAGGTAGAGACACAGGTTTAAGTATAGAATACTCATGGGAGGGGAAAAGAAAACAAATTGGACACAAGTACTCACTCAGAGCCACAACCCAGATTCAATTTTGGTAAATTCTGTGGAACCCACAGAGGCTACAGAGGATCCTTGAAATGGGGTGCATCAGTGTGTGCTAGGATATAAGACCAGGAGCCTGCAGATCATGGAGGCAAGATCAGGTTGGTTTTTGGTGAGTTTGGAGGTTATAGTTGCCATCTAAGTTTTGGTTCTATTTTAGGTAAGTCAGGAAAGCACCAGAATCAGGCTAATGTTGGCTTCTGGGCTACAACATGGCACTTGGCACTGTGGGTCAGGGTGGGAGCTCCGTGACTAGAAGTAGCAGCATTTGGGAGATGTGCAGAGTGGCACTTACACCTGCATTTGGTGACAATGGGAAAGTAGCTGGTGAATACCCATGGTTGTGTTATCAGTACAGGGAAAGTATAGGGCAAGTTACATTAACTTCTGTGTAGACTTGGCTTAGTGGACCCATTATTCTGATAAGGATGCCAGGATTAGTTGGGAGTGGGGTTTCAAAACTTGTGCTCAGGCACATAAGTACTTGAGACCCCTGGAGAGAAGGTGAGGAGGTTTCCCTTCTTGAGCTGCTGAGGAGATGAAAGGGTCTGCAAGGATAGGTACTAGATATTGCTGTACATGGTGGTGGTAGCTGAGCAGTGCAGATACCATGATAGGCAATTTTAGACCAGGTGGACTTTGGGCTCCAGCTTCTGGAAAGGACAGGTCCATGTGTTCTTCACCTTAGTCTTCCTGGAAGCCTGGCTTTGTGCTCTTCCTGTGGTTCCAGGAGTCTAACGTTAAGTTTCCCACAGGGCATTGGTATTCCAGGCTTTTTACCTGCCTAGGAGGACTCGAGTCAGGAGCATGCTATTTGTAGCTCTTTAGACAGCTTGGTGGGCTTTGACATCTTGCTGTCACAGATAAGTGGCTGGGATAAACCTGTTTGTTGCTTTTCCTGAATTAGCCCAAGGCTTGTGTGCAGCAGCTCCCCTTTGGTGAAGTTTCTGGAAGGAGTACCCATGGGTACACTTCTGACTCGAAGGGTTCCCTCCAGGACATACTCTGATGGTGGCTAGTGTTGAGCCCTGGGTTCAGAGCTTAGTCCAGTAATGCTCCTACCCTTCTCAGAGTCAACAGCACCTTTTTAAATTCTGTCTAGTGTTCAGTGTTCATTTATTATATTTTCTTTAGTTTCTAGATATCAGATTGTTCCTAATACCTATAAGAATATTTGTTTTAGGGCTGGAGAGATGGCTCAAGTGTTAAGAGCACTGACTCTTCTAGAGGTTCTGCGTTCAATTCCCAGCAACCACGTGGTGGCTCACAACCATCTGTAATGTGATCTGGTGCCCTCTTCTGGCATGCACTGAATACATGATAAATAAATAATTTTTTTTTTAAAAAAAGAATATTTGTTTTAGTTAAGTCTTTATTAGTTTTGTCATTGAAGAGAGGCAAGTTGAAAACAAATATGGTACTTCTCTTAAACTGCCAGTAAAGCAGAGAAAGGGTTGGAAACTTTTTGTTTTTCTGTATTTATTTTGAATGTCTTTTTTTTTTCTTTCTTGAGACAGGGTTTCTATTTAGTGATAGCTGTCCTGGAATTCACTATGTAGGCTGATCTCTAACTCCCAGAGATCCACCTGCCTTTGCCTCCCAAGTTTAGAGGTGTACTCCTCTACCATGCCCAGTTGTTTTCTTTATATTAGAGACATATTTATTTTAATCTTATGCATGTGAGTGCTTGCCTGTATGTATGTATGTGCACCATGGAAACCGGTGCATCAGACCCCTTGGAGCTGTGAGTTGCAGATATGAGCTACCATGTGAGTTGAGTGCTGGGCACCAAACTTGGGTCCTTTGCAAAAGCAGCAAGTGCTTATAACTGCTGAGCCATCCTTCAGCTTGTTTTATTTTTTTTTAAATGGTGCTGTGGAATCAAACCCAGGGCTTGGCATATCTTAGTGTTATTTAATAACATGTGCTTGGTCACTAGGAATGGTGGCTGACACGTTTGCAGATTATTAGCAAAGTTTACTCACTCCTCAGGTAACTATTACCATGGCTGAGAAGGTAGAAGAAATCCAGCATCCACTGTTGTTGAAGTATGGAGGGACAAGCTAGGGTGGGGACTATTTGGGGCATCTTGTACATTGGTTCTCCATGTAGAAGTTTTCACCTTGCCCTACATACTATCCTAGGGGTGCACTTGGGGCCCATCAGACAGATAGAAACTTGGCAAGACCTGTACAAAAACATGTTCAAGAGGCATTGTGTAACAATCTTGTGTTTATATAGGTCGAGGCCGTCCACCTACAGAGCCATTGCCTGATGGATGGATCATGACTTTTCATAACTCTGGAGTCCCTGTATACCTGCATAGAGAGTCTCGAGTGGTCACCTGGTCCAGACCCTATTTCTTGGGAACAGGAAGCATACGGGTAGGGGAGTCATCTGTCATATATTTAGGCTTGGCAGTTCTCAATGCTTGTCTGCATGTGTTGAAGTGCAGTCAAATAGACTCAAAGTTTTCCTGATAACCCCTATTTCAATTTCACTGTTTACAGAAACATGATCCTCCTCTAAGCAGTATCCCCTGTCTGCATTATAAGAAAATGAAGGACAATGAGGAACGGGAGCAAAACTGTGATCTCACACCCAGTGGGGAGGTGTCACCTCTCAAGCCCCTGGGTCGATCTGCAGAGTTGGATTTCCCTTTGGAAGAGCCTGACTCCATGGGTGGAGACTCAGGGTCCCTGGATGAGAAGGACCCACTGGGGGGTGAGGCAGCCCCTGGAGCCCTGGGACAAGTGAAGGCTAAGGTTGAGGTTTGCAAAGATGAATCAGTTGGTAAGTGTTCTGAAGAGTTTTCTTCCCTCCTTGCTACGTGAATTTTCACTCCTACCTTATGCTGGGCATTCCTGGTTGTATCTGAAAGGGGACCTTTGCATGGACAATTCACATAGCAGACAGGCCTCTCCCTTGTTTTCAAGAACAGACCTGATTGTAGTAGCCTGAGCTCTGCTGGGCCTGACTGCCAAAAGCTTCTTTTGATGCAGGATTCTGCTTTTTGCCTTTATAAAGAAATGGGCAGTGCTCTTGAGTTTTGCATTTGTTTTTGGTTATATGCTTATATTTCTCACTCTGTCTTGTGCTTATAACTTAGTTCAGTTCCTTAGATCCCTAGTGGTGTCAGAACTCTTTGAACCCCCACCCACTAAGAGTCACTTCCAAAGAGGACTTCAATCCTTCAGGGTCAAGTTTGTGTGTATGCTGCACAACTGAGTGTGAGATGCCCTGGAAGAGGAAGCTGCTGTTGGGTAGGGTAACATGGTCTGGGAAGAGGTGCATCGTGTAGAAACCCTAAGAGGTAGAAAGCCACCTAGATATAGTTGTTACTGACTTTGAAGGGCCAGAGGCAAAAGTGAGATGGTCAGAGAGATGGTAGACACCTGCTTTTGGCAGTCGGGTACTTTCTATTGTGTGTGTGTGTTTGCTTTGTTTTATTTTTAAACTCCCTCTTCCCTATAATTTTTTTTTTTTTTTTTTTTTTTTTTTTTTTTTTTTTTTTTTTAGACTTTCCTGGAACTAGCTCTTGTAGACCAGGCTGGTCTCCAAATCACAGAGATTCGCCTGCCTCTACCTCCCGAGTGCTGGGATTAAAGGCGTGCGCCACCACCGCCCGACTCCGTATAATTTTCTTAATGTTTTTCTTAGTCCAGATAAAGTAATCGTATGCCCAGGAGTCTGTCCATAAGGTCCTTCCCAGAATGGTTTGAAGTTGGTGTGAAAGGACCTAATTTCTTTTCCTTTCCTTGCTTTTGAAAGAAATGGTGAAAAGGAAATGGGTATCATGTGTCCTGGATTTGTTTAATAGGAGTTATTATACACAGGGCTGAGAAAAACATGATTCTTGTGTTGGAAATCTGATAATATGGTTCACTGGTACATATCTTGGACAGATCTGGAGGAATTTCGTACCTACCTGGAGAAGCGTTTTGATTTTGAGCAAGTAACTGTGAAAAAATTCAGGACTTGGGCTGAGCGGCGTCAGTTTAACCGTGAGATGAAGCGGAAGCAGGCAGAGTCAGAGAGGCCCATCCTGCCAGCCAACCAGAAGCTCATCACTTTATCTGTGCAAGATGCACCTACAAAGAAAGGTGAGCTGTGCTTGTACTGACAGCATCAGCAGATGGAACATATCATAGTCATTTAATTTGCTTTGTCTATGTTTATGAGTGCACTTACTCCAAAGCTGTAATGCATAGAGGCTGTCATGTTCTTAGTGGTAAGCCCCTAAGGAGTGGCTCAGGTATATGGATGGGCCAGGTTCCTGAGTATTACCTGAGATACTTACTGAGATAAGTTCTTCTTCTTTTTCTTCTTCTTCTTCTTTTTTTTTTTTAAGATTTCTTTTTTGTTTTTTTGAGACAGGGTTTCTCTGTGGCTTTGGAGGCTGTCCTGGAACTAGCTCTTGTAGACCAGGCTGGTCTCAAACTCAAAGAGATCCACCTGCCTCTGCCTCCCGAGTGCTGGGATTAAAGGTGTGAGCCTTTAATCTCCCATCACCCAGCTGAGATAGTTCTTTTTGTCACAGAATTTGTCATCAATCCCAATGGGAAGTCTGAGGTCTGCATCCTGCACGAATACATGCAGCGTGTCCTCAAGGTCCGCCCTGTTTATAATTTCTTTGAATGTGGTAAGTTCAAACCCATTACAGTCCTTGAAGACTCTTAAATATCATTTTGCTTATGGCTGGAGGTGGGAGTGAGTACATTGGCCCTACTGGGTTGAATAGTCATGCAAGGCAAGGACAAAGAGAAGTATGGTGCAGATAGGTGTCCTATTTTTCACAGCAGTGACCCTTGTCTGAGAGGGGATGGCTTAGCTTTTCCTTTTGAGTTTGTCCTATTTTTCCCCTTCCCCTATTTTTCTTCTCTGCTCTGCTTTAGTAGGTCCTGATTTGTTAAGAACAGTCTATAATAAAGGCCTTGCTTTTCTGTTGGGCATTGAATTCTTTCCTGTCCTGTGTCCGCCACTCTCACCCACCCCCCAATAATGAAGGAGCCTTGATCTTACCGTACTTCCTGACAGCTCTGTCTTCTGTGATCTCCTTTGTATAGTTCATGAATGCCAGTGTGATTGCCTTTGGGATCTGAGACCTGGGATTACTCATTTTTTGGGGGTGCTGTTTCTTAGATGTCCTTGGTCCTGTGTTTTGCCATTCTTGACAGTCCTGTTTGTCTTTCAGAGACATCCCTACCTTGTCCCTCCCTGTACTGGGCAGCTCTGCCTTCAGCTCCTGTTTTCCCCTTGGATCATCTCCCATAGTAACCCATATTCTTCAGTCTTCCCATCTGTGCCCCTTGCTGCCTGTCTCCACATCTCCCAGCCTTGTCTGCACATCTCAAACCAGCACAGATATGCTTTATTGAGGGGTATCTTGTCAGGGCTGACAGATTTTGTGTGTACATGCTTTTCAAGTCTTGACAAGTGTGTTTTAAAATGAGTAATTTTAATTTTAAGAGAATCCAAGTGAGCCTTTTGGTGCCTCGGTGACCATTGATGGTGTGACTTACGGATCTGGAACTGCAAGCAGCAAAAAACTTGCGAAGAATAAAGCTGGTAATGTGGTTTGCTTGGTATATCAGTTACCATTCTTGCTTACAAAGCAACTTAAGAAAGGAAGGGTGGATTTTGGCTCCTGAAGAGTACATTTTATCATTGTGGGAAAGGCATGGTGTAGGTGCTTGAGGGTGCTGCCAACATGGCATCTGCAGTCAAGAGCTGACAGTGGTGAATTCCAGTGCTCAGCTTCCTTCTCTTTTGTTCAGCCCAGAACCTTAGCCCATGACATGATGCCACTTACCTTTAAGGTGGGTTTTCCCGCCTCAGTTGGCTATGTCTAGATACTGGTTGGCAAGTATGCCCTAGAGGCTAACTTAATTTAGATACTGATCACAGGCATGTCCAGGAGTTGGTAATTAGTATTAAATATCACCTTTGGTATAATACTAGAGACATGCTGCCTGTTGGGTTTGCCTCACTTTGATTAGCAAGGGGCTGGGTAATGAATGAGTAGGTTTTTAGGGGTTTGGGACAACATTTATTCATGTAATCTATTTTTTAATGTGCTTTTAAAAAAGGATTTATTTTTGTGGTATGTTTGTGTGTGTGTATGTGTCTGTGTGTCTTCATGTTAACTTATGTACTGGTGCCCTCAGGCCAGAAGAGGGCATTGGATTCTCTGGAATTGGAATTAAAGGAAGTTGGGAGTCACCTGATATAGGTGATGAGAACCAAACCCAGATCAGCAAGTACCCTTAACCCTTACTGGGCTATCTCTGTTGCCCTCTCCTTTGATTTTTAAAACATAATAGTAGTGGTACATGACAGTATTTCTAGTACTTGAGAATCTGCTACAGTACCATTGGACCATTGTGGGTTTCAGGCTATAGATCAATAGATTGGCTGTAGATCAATATTGTCTCAGAACTAAGGGTTGGGCATGTAAATTAGCTGTAGAGTGGGTCTAATCCCTTGCACTACCAAAGATAAAATATAATAACTATGTGCTTATTGTGAATGATTTAAAGTAAGTAAAAAAACAATGATGAGTTAAAAAGGTAGATCGATAGTTAAAAGCATGTACTGTTCTTTTAGTGGAACCAAGTTTGGTTCCTGTCTTACTTTTCTACTACTGACAAAGCACCATGACCTAGGCAACTTTAGAATAAAGTATTTAATTGGGGCTTGTGGTTTCAGAAGGTGAGTTCATGACCATTGTGGCAGGGAACATGGAGGCAGGCAGGCAGGGTCCTGGAGCAGTAGCTGAGAATTTATATCTGATTTACAAGTATGAGGCAGAGAGAGCTAACTAGGAATAGTGTGGGCTTTTGAAGCCTCAAACCCCACCTCCATGGTACATCCTTCAGCAAGGCCATCCTTCCTAGTGACTAAGCATTCAAAATCAGGAGACTGTGGGGGCCATTCTCATTCAAATCACCACAGTTCCCAGAACCCACATGGGGCAGCTTACAAATACCTGTAACTCCAGCTCCAGGAGGATCTAATACCTCTGGTTTCTGCACATACACACACATACATGTATACATAATTAAAATAAGATTCTGTGTGCTCACACCTTTAATCCCAGCATTCAGGAGGCAGAGGCAGGCAGATGTCTGTGAGTTTGAGTCTAGCCTGGTTTATAGAGTGAGTTCCAGGATAGCCAAGGTATGTCTCAAAAAACAAACAGGTGGTTTTTGTTTGTATGTTTTTGTTTTTCAGGACAGGGTTTCTCTGTGTGTCCCTAACTGTCCTGGAATTTGGTCTATACATTAGGCTGGCCTTGGACTCACAGAGATCTGCCTGCCTGTCTCCCAAGCACTGGGATTAAAGGTGTGAGCCACCCACACCCCACCCCCAGCTCAGATTTTTATTTTTTAAAGTGAGACTATAGTAGAGGGCCTCTTTCTGTTTTCATGTTCTAGCCATGTGCAGATTCCGGTATGCTTAGAGCCTATGGTGCCATGTGTAGTAATGTACAATTTTGTTTATTTATTTATTTATTTTTGGTTTTTGAGACAGGGTTTCTCTGAGTGTTGGGATTAAAGCATTCACCACCACACCTGGTATGCAAGTTTGTTTTTAAACAGCAAAATGTGGACATGCTAAGAAAAATAAAGGCAGATTGTCACGTTGTCCCCATTTTCCTGGGTTTTTGATATTTATATAGACTATTTCCTGAGTCCTTCAGATTTCAAGTTGGGGATTAGATAGTTGTTGCACACCACATTCATCCCAAGAAAATGGGTATTTTCCTTTAAAAGACCCACAGTACCATATCTTTGCCTTCTGCCTCCATGGAGGAATAGACAGCAGTTTTGGACCAAGCCATTTTGCTCATCATTGGGGTTGTCCGGGCTTTTCCAAGTAGTGGATACATTGTAGATTAGTGTTAGGTATACTTCTGGCCCTGGCACATACAGGGCCCTCTTGAACTTTATCCTATGGGCACATTGTCTTCTAGAACTGGTCTCTATACAGAACAGGGAGGCATACCAGTTTTCTCAGTCTTACTAGGTCTTGAGGGCAGGCAGAGGATTTTCTACTTGTAAGAATCAAAGTGTTCCTCTGTACTTTTTTTTTTTTTTTTTGCGGCCAGTGCTGAAGACCGTAAGAAGTCTTTCTTCACATTTACTGCTTGTACTCTGTTTAGCTGCCCTTAGCTTGCATATTCTTCCTCGGTCTCCAGGAATGCCTGATTCTGTTTTGTTAACTTACCATGCAGAGCTAGGGCCTGAGCCAGGTCTACCACTAAGCTAGCCTCTAGCTCCTTCTATTCATTTTAGAAAGATTCAGCCTAAAAAGACTTCAGCTCAACAAATTGTTGAGATTTTGAGCAGATATAGGGCCTGGCAGAAGAATGGAAACATTCTCAGGCTTTTCCTAAGCTACTCTTTACAAGGTCACCTGTCTCTGTGCTGGGCTTTGTTCCTCTGCCTATTCCAGTTACTCTCTCTAGACATCTGCACTGGGATGTCTTACCAACATTGCTGTGCTGGACCAGACTGAGCCATTACTGTAACAGGTAGTGGGCTGTTCATATGGGTGCCACCCTCATATTCTGCCTTATACATGCTTCTTCCAGAGTTCCTCAGGTATGTCCATCTACCTGTTCATGGTAGCTGCTCTCCATGTGTTGTGGTCTGGATGTTCTGTAGCAGTCTGCTGTCAGGCCTCTTTGGGTCTAGGTTTTGCCAAGCCCCCCCCCCCTTTTTTTTTATATGCTACAATTTGATTTAAATATATGTGAGTTTCTCCCTTGGTAAAATTGGTATATGAAACTTATACCATCTCACTGCCCCTTGTTCAGGATGCACTTGTTCTTTATTCTACCTTTTAAAGTGTTGTTGCTGCTTTTGGCTACAAGTGTGGGAGCCAGTATGTAGCTCACTACTGGCTGGGCAGCATGCCTGGTTTCCTTTGGGTTTAAGCCCTCACCTCAGACTTTTTCTTTTATAGCCCGAGCCACACTGGAAATTCTCATCCCTGACTTTGTTAAACAGACCTCTGAGGAGAAACCCAAAGACAGTGAGGAACTGGAGGTGAGTGTGGTGATTTTGTACTGCCTAGAGCTGCAACAGTCATACAGCTATTGACCCCATTGCCTCAACCAGGGTCGTGCACTATGTCAAGGGTGTAGTCATTAGCCTGTAAGAGGAACTTGCTTGCCTTTGTGAAGGCAGAGGGAAAAGTCTTGAAGAATTTTATCCTTTAGTGTATAGTGTACACAGAGATCTTTGATGGAAATGAACCTAGCAGAGTATAAGATTAAGATTGTTGTTTATGTTAGGAAATCTCTGAAACCCTGTCCTGTGTAACCCTTTTAGGATAAATAAGGCTCTATGTCTCTTCACAGCAAAGAAGTTTTATCTTGGTTTCTTTTCTCATCTATTTGAATTTTCTTGTGATCTCCAATCATTTTAAAATCATTCTTTGCAGTTCTTTGACCTTTGAAACCTTATACCGTCTTTGGACTCAGTTATGATGGAGTCCTGAACATTTACAGAAATTGTGTTGCCTTGGCTTTTTAGGGTTCTTGTGTTTCTATATTGTATCTTGCATATCTGTCAGGATAGGTTATCTCTTCCAGTTTTTAAATCTTATTTAAATGGAAGGCAAAGGCATGCAGATCTGTATGAGTTTGAGGCCAGTCTTGTCTACATAATTAGTTCCAAGCTAGCCAATGACTACACAGTGAGACCCTGTTTAAAAAAAAAAAAAAAAAAAAAAAACCACTTTTTTTTTTTTTTTTATTTAAATGCATTTTAAGATTTTGGGGGGTGCCAGGCGATGGTGGTGTATGCCTTTAATCCCAGCACTTGGGAGGTAGAGGCAGACGGATCTCTGTGAGTTCAAGGCCAGCCTTGTCTACAGAGTAAGTTCCAGGACAGCCTCCAAAGCTACAGAGAAACCCTGTCTCAAAAAACAAAAACAACAAAAAAAGATTTTCGGGGTTCTTATTAGTTTTCTTGGGAGTCACGTTCCACATTTGCACTAACAGAAAACAGACAATAGTAATTAAAAAGTTATTCCATTTTTGTATTATATTTATTTTTTTGTTTATTATTTTTGTGTGGGGGGTGCATGCAGGCTCTGGTGCAAGTGTGGAGGTAGAAGAACATCGGTAGGAAGTGGGTTCTTTCCTCCTACCATATGCACTCCAGGACTGAAACTCTGGCCCTCAAGCTTGTGTGGCAAATGCTTTTACCATCTTGTAGCCCTTAGCTACATTTAACTATGAGGGAGGTAAGAAAAAGAGAAAAGATGTATGGGGTAAAAGTATAAGAAAAAGTCATGCCTTGGTTGTAGTGTAGTACTGCATGCCTAAAGTCCTCATATTTGGGAAGTAGAGGCAGGAGGACAAGAACATTCTCAGGTATGTAGGTATTCAAAGTCAGCTTGAGCTGCATGAGACTGTCTCAGCCCCCACCTTCCCCCCAAGAAAAAGAAGTGATCTTTTGTAAAGGAGCACATAGAAAAGTAAGAAAGACAATACAACCAGAAGGAAAGAAGAAGGAAGGGAACAGACAAAACAGGATAAGAGAGTGTGCTGTGATTTTAAAAAGTGACATGCTATGTGACAGCTTGGGTGGAGGGGCTTTTTATTGTGGGGGAAAGTAAATGGGAAAAGGTGGGCGGGGAGACTAACTTCTGGGGACAGGAGCAGCAGAGAAGCAGAGAGAGACAGACAGGAGGAGAAAGAAGGGGAGAAAGAGAGAGAGAGATGGGAGGTGGGGAGGGCCCTTTTAAAAGAGAACATAGTGAATGCACAGGTGGTGCTCTTAGTGGCTGCAGCTGAGAACATGGCCTGTCAGAATCCCATGGGCAGGCCAGAACAGATGTCTGAATACTAACAGAGAGGATGGATCATTTTTCTCCAGGCTTGTTTTTATAGGTGAGTAAAGTCTAAAGCAAGTCAGAGAAGAAGGACTTTTCTCAGCTTGCATTTTTGGGTATGAAGTCCTGGCTATGCTGCAAGAGCCTCCCTCAGACTGTTTCTGTTAGCCTAGCTAAAAGACTTTCTCTACCTCTGCTCCAAAGACCCTCTGCCTGGTGGGTTTGTGGTGGGCAGTTCTTTTGTGCATTTGTGTGCATGTGCGCTTGCGCTCTCTCTCTCTCTCTCTCTCTCTCTCTCTCTCTCTCTCTCAGTGTGTGTGTGTGTGTGTGCACATGTACACAAAGAACAACCTCGGATGTGTGTGCATGTGCTGTGTGTGTTTGTGTACACACAGATAATAACCTCAGATGTTGTACCTCAGGTGCCACTCAAATTTTTTCAGAGTGTTTTGCTGGCTTGGAATACCCAGTAGATTAGGCTGCTTGGCAGGTTCTAGGGCTGTGTCTGTCTTTTCTTGCCTAGTTCATCACCATGCTTGGAATTTTTTTAAACATTGGTTCTGGGTATTGAACCCAGGTCTTCATGCTTATTCAGAAAGCACTTTGCCAACTGAGCTGTCCTAGGCTGGGAAACTCTGCCCAGCAGCAGTTGATTTTCTCCACTCTCAGAGTATACAAAGTTGTCAGGCCAAAGCAGTTTATACTGACTGGCTAATGGGTTCATTTTATCTGTAGTGGCCTCAGTTCTGTCGTGCACTTGTATTCACATACAGCTAGCTCTATTTTAATTAGCCATTTGGTTTGTAGCTTCCTTATCTACTTGCCACAGTTGACACATACCTCTTAAGTGTATCTGTCTCAGCCTGAGTCACTTCCAGTTTCCCAGGTTCACAGTCATTTGTTTTTTTTTCCCCTGTATTTAAAATACTACTATATCATTTCTTCTTCCTCCAGCCTCTCCAGTGCCCTCCCCAACACATTCTTGGGGTAGTAGTCATTTGCTTAGCTAGTAGAGATGAGCAGGCTTTTGGAATTTGGAGATAGAAAAATGCAGGGTCTTCTCTCCCCAGCTTAATGGTATATAAGACCTCTCCTGAGATGATTCCCCTTGATAGCAGTAAGCAAGCTAGGAAGTGCTACAGGATTTTTTTTCTAATATTTTCCTTAAATTTATTTGTGTGTGTGCATGGAAGTCAGAGGATAACTCGTAAGAGTTGGTTCTGGGGGTTGAATGTAGACTGTCAGGCTTATTCCTACTTTGATGTCTGCCTAAGCCCTAGATGAAGGAGTTTTGATTAACTTCTTAGTAGGGAGTATGTCAGCCCATATGCCTTTTAGCCTTTCTGGTTTCTGATAAACTGTTTTGGATTAGGTATACAGCTTGATACACTTTTTGATAATTTTAATTTGTCCTGAAGGTTTCTGAAACTCTTATTTTTATTTTTGTACCCAGACTAGGTGATCTTGATAGATCTATATTTATGTTTGCTGATAGTTTTTCTGCCTATTTGAATCTACTAGGAAATACTTCTGGTGAACAATTCATACTCCCCACTCTGCCCTTCTTGTTTTAGGAATGGTATCTAGGAACTTAGACATGCCAGACAAGAACTCTGTCCCTGAGCCATATCTCCAGCCTCCCCCACCTCAGCCCCTGTGTGTATGTATGTCTGTCTTTTTTGAGACAGTGTTATGCTGTGTAGCCTGGCAGGCCTGGAACTCTCTAGTAGAACTCCCAGAGATCTGCCTTCTTCTGCCTCCCAGGTGCTGGGATTAAAAGCCTATGCCATCAGCAATTAAGAACACAAACTATTCTTCGAAACGACCCAAGTTTGGTTTCCAGCATCCACATTGGATGGGTCATAACCACTGGTAACTCCAATTTCAGAGGATTCTGTACTTTTGGCATTTCTGAGCACATTGGCTTACATTGCACATGTACATACAAACATAATTTTAAAATGATAAAAATAAATGGTAAAATTAAAGATAAGAATAGAAGCTGGAGAAATGCTTGAATACTTGTTCCTCTTGCAGAGGACCTGGATTCAGTTCTCAGTTCCTCCCCTCCCCCGACCCCCGTTTCTTGATCTGATGCTCTTTTCTAGCCTCCATAGTTGTTATACATACGTGGTACACAGACATACATACAGTCAAAATATCCATACAAATAAAATGATGTTGAAAAGAATATTAAGTACAATCTCAGACAGGAACTCAAGGACAATTTATTGGCATTACAGGGGAAGAATGGCGCAGATAAGCTAGAGATCTCATCAGCTGCCAATAAGAGAGAGATGGATAAAGCACAGAGAGAATGAGAACAAGTAAAAGACAAGGCATACCAAGACAGAGGAATTTGGTGCCATGGGCCTTTGTTCTGTGTAGGGTTGTCCTCTGTGTGTCTATAGGGCAGAAGTTGATATCTGGTGTCTCCTCAACTGCTTCTCTACCTTTTTTTGGAGAAAAGGTCTCACTATGTAGCTGTTTTGGTAGTTCAGGAACTCACTATGTATGTATCAAAGATAGGATAATGAATGACTAATTGTATCTGTTGATATTGCTTTACTTCCTAGTTCTTTTACTGGTTTGTGTATGTATGGTTTTGTGTGTGCATTCATATGGGGGCTTATGCTCATGTTGTGCGTGGTTGCATATGTGGAGGCCAGAGGACATTTCATGGAGTACATTCCCTCCTAATTTTACTTTGGTTCCAGAAATCCAATTCAGATGACTTGATTTGTGTGATAAGCACCTTTATAGCTGAGCCATCTTGCTGGCCCTTCCTTTGGGCCAGCTTAAAATCCTGTTACTGGTTCATCTTTAACCAGTTAGTTATAAACAGCAGTGGATCTTTGTCACCGAAATACCTGTGCTGGCTTATGTATACTCTTAACAATAGAAGGCCAGCTCTTAAAAATGATATATAAACAGCTTGAAAAATTTTTTCCTCCCAGCATTGTAGTCCTTAAAACTAGGCTCATTTTAAATAAAAACCAACACACTTGTTTGCAATCTTTTATTTAATTTACTTTTTGTTTTGTCTTGTTTTTGTTTTTCAAGACAGGGTTTCTCTATGTAGCTTTGGAGCCTATCCTGGCACTCGAACTGTAGACCAGGCTGGTTTCGAGCTCACAGAGATCCACCTGCCTCTGCCTCCCGAGTGCTGGGATTAAAGGCGTGCACCACTACCCTGCATTTTTATTTCTTTTCCTTTTTTTTTTTTTTAAGATGGATTTTATTGTATGTGTATCTGTTTGTTTGCCATGTGAGTACAGGTGCTGGAAGAAGGCACTGGATCCCCTGGAGCTGGAGTCATAGGCCCCTCTCAGCTGCCCGACATGGGTGCAGGGTGATAAATTCAGGTCCTTTGGAAGAGCACTCATAACTGCTGAACCTTCTCTCCAGCCCCTCATTCATTCATTCATTCATTCATTCATTCATTCATTCATTGTGTTGATGTGTGCAAGCCACTACACACACGTAGAGTTCAGAGGACCACCGTATGGATCCCAAGGAATGAACTCAGGTTTTTAGACTTGGCAATACATACCATTACTCACTGAGCTATCTCAAATTGCCCCCCCCCCTTTTTTTTTTTTCGGTTTTGGTTTTTCAAGACAGGTTTTCTCTGTGGCTTTGGAGGCTGTCCTGGAGCTCTTGTAGACCAGGCTGGTTTTGAACTCACAGAGACCCACCTGCCTCTGCCTCCAGAGAGCTGGGACTAAAGGCGTGCACCACCACTGCCCAGCCAAATCACCCCTTTTTATTACTGACCATTGATCATTGCCACATTTGCTTCAGAGGAAGCTTACATCGTACCTGGGAAAGAGATTGTTACAGAATGATCTTTTATTCTCTTTCTTCCTGTGTAGTACTCCACTGTTACCTTTAACTCAACTGACTGATTCATTCATTGATTGATTAAATTTATTTGTGATGTCAGGGATTGAACCCAGGGGCTTTGCACATGCTAGGGATATACTTTGCCACTGCCCTCTTAATTGCTAAACTATCTCTCTCCAGTCCCTATGTTTGTTTGTTTGTTTATTGCATATGCAGTGTTCTGTCTGCATGTTTGTCTGTATGCCAGAAGGGGGCACCAAATCCTCATTACAGATGGTTGTGAGCCATTATGTGGTTGCTGGGAATTGAACTCAGGACCCCTGAAAGAGCAGCCAGTACTCTTAACTTCTGAGCCATCTCTCAAGCCCTATCCAGCCCCTATTTTTATTATATTTATTTATGCATATGTGCCTGTGTGAGTGTATACTATGTCTTTTGGGGAGGGGTGCACAGAGACCAGAAGAGGGCATTGGGTCCCCTTGGAGCTTTAGTTACAGACAGTTATGAACTGCCCAGCATAGATTCAAGGAGCTGAATTCGGGTTTCCTGCAAGAGCTAGCTGTAAGTGTTCTTTAACTGCTAAGCCATCTTTCCAGCCTCTAGGCATGATTTTTTTGAAAATTTTGTGCTGTGTGTTTTTGTATGTCTCTGTGTATATAGGTCACAGGTCATCCTTGAATGTCATTCTTCAGATACTGATCATGTTGTTATATGAGATAGGACCTCTTTCCTGGACTGTAACTTACCAGTTAGGCTCAGATGGCTGGCCAGTAAGCCCTAGAGACTGGCTTGTCTTCATTTCACTAGTGCTCAGATTGCAGGCATAAGCCAGAGTGCCTGGCTTTTTTTTTTTTTTTTCCCCCAAATTTAGGTCTTCATGCTTGCATGGCTAGTATTTTGCCAACTGAGCTATCTTCAACAGCCCAAGTCTGCTTTTTATTATGGATAATTTGAAGTCTTTGGTAAGTCCACCTCCTACAGGAATAGTTGTTTTCTGCTTCCTCCCTACCCCCATATAGGAACATCTATATTTAACAGTTTGTATGTCTCACTTTTTGTTGAGAAGTAGACATTTAAAACTATGGAAATGGAATATACTCATACCCCACTATACACAAACAGCACCACAACCAAGGCTAGTTATTGCTTTTACTGTTTGTTTACTGTGTACTACTATAAGAAAGAATCAAAGGCTGGGCAGATTAAACCAAAGAAATTTAGTTGCCTTAATTCTGGAGGCCAGAAGTTTAAAGTAGTGTCAGTAGTGTCAGATACTGACCAGAGGCTTTCTGGGTTCTAGAATGGCTATCTTCATGTTTGTGCTTTTGCTTGAAGGTATGTTTTTCTCTCAATTTCTTTGGTTTATAAGGAATGAGTCCTGGGGATAGGGCTGAGTCCTCAAGTAGGGCCCACTCACCCCATGTATTCACATTCTGGGGTACTAAGGGTTAAGACTTCAACTTGTGAATTTTGGAGCAGACACAGTTTATAGTTCAACTTATAATAATATCTTTCCCAGATAATATTGCAAAGTATTATCTGTATTCTTGAGTATTATCTATCTGTATTCTTTGTAACATGTTTACTAAGTCAGTTCATTTAGATTAGCTGATCATTGGATAGAGATTACCCTGTACTGAAAGGTCTCTCAGCCTTTTGCCTTTGTTAGTAGTTGGAAGTTTTTATCATGCAGATCCTGCTCACATTTTGATTCTTAGATTGTCCCACTGTGTTGAGGAATTATTTGGTTTTAGTTCATTGCTAGCATGCATGTGTATTGACTATATCTTGCTGCTTTGCTGAATTCATGTATTAGTTCTCGTAGTTTTACTGTAGAATTTTTTGGGGTCATCTTTTTCGGATGCTTAATAAGAAATGCCCCCATAAACTAAAGTCACCCAGTTTGTTGGTACAGATGTATGTTGCTTGTATGATTTACTTATGTAAATTCTGTAGAGGGTACCTACACAAACTAGGATGATTTTAATGTTGCTAGGTGATTATCCTATGGGACTACCTTTGTGTCCACCTTAAATAGGTAGATTTATCAGTGCATGACTGCTCTGTTTCTGCAGTATGTCACAGAAATGTTCTGTGCTATAGAGAGAGCTGAGCTGTCTGGCATCTTCTGTTCACTGAGTATTGGGTCAATTAGAGATCAAGGCAGGGGAGGTTCTGTTAGCTACTAATTTCTGATCCTTTGTCCCATGCATTTCATGGCTGTTCTTCCTACCCTTAGCCTACCTGAGTCTGCAAATTTTCTCTCTCTTTGTGTCTTAGGTCTTAATTACTTTTTCTTTTTCTCTTTCTTCTTTCTTATTTTGGTCTTTTGAGACAGGATTTCTCTGTTTAGCCTTGGCTGTCCTGAAACTCACTCTGTAGACCAGGCTGACCTCAGAACTCACTGAGATCCTCATGCCTCTGCTTCTTGAGTGCTGGGATTAAAGGCATGTGCCACCAGTGCCCAGCCTTAGTGACTTTTCTATTGCTCTGACAGATCACTACGACCAAGGCAACTTATAGAATATTTTATTGAGGTTTACAGTTTCAGAGGGTTTGCTAATGACCATCATGGTAAGAAGCATGGCAGCAAGCAGGCAGGCATGGCGCTCAAGCAGTAACTTAGAGCTGACATCTCATCTACTGCCAGGAGGCAGAGTTTGGGGGTAAATCTAACTAGGAATGGTATAGGCTTTTGCAGGGTGGGGTGAATCTAGCTAGGAATAGTATGGGCTTTTTGGGGAGAGTGAATATAACTAGGAATGGTATGGGCTCTTGTTAGGGGCTACTAGGAATAGTATGTATGGACTTTTGAAAGCCCACCCCCAGTGACACACCTTCTCCAACAAGGCCACACCTCCTAATCCTTTCCAAACACTTCCACCAGCTAATAGAGATGTCTGGGGGTATAGCTTGCTCTAGTAAGGTGACAGGAAAGGATGTTGAGCGTGTGAGGGAAGCACACAGTGTGGCACTGCTCTTAAGAGGTATGGGCCTGCTTAGGATTCACAGGCATGTGCTTTGTGTTTTAGTATTTTAACCACATCAGTATTGAGGATTCACGAGTCTACGAGCTGACCAGCAAGGCCGGGCTGTTGTCTCCATATCAGATCCTCCATGAGTGCCTTAAAAGGTAGGGTAGGAAGCACCTTCCTCAAGAATTGGGTCACGGGTGTTCCACTAGAGCATCTCAAAATTTCATTTGGCTTTTGTCCCAAGGTAGAGTCATTATCTGTTTGCCTGGATATACAGGAGCCCCTTGGCTCTGCCTGATGGGTGAGCACTGGGCAACTGAAACAAGTGTGTGGAGAATCTCCCTTAGTCAGCTGAACATCTAGGGAGGGTTAAGGTTTTCTTTGGAGAGTCATTAATGAACTTTGTCATGTAATAGCCTTTCCCAGAAGTCACCATGTACAAGTGACATCCATTGATGTCTCCTTGTCATCTTTGTTTTCTCCTTAAAGAAACCATGGAATGGGTGACACATCCATCAAGTTTGAAGTGGTTCCTGGGAAAAACCAGAAGAGTGAATATGTCATGGCATGCGGCAAACACACAGTGCGCGGGTGGTGTAAGGACCTGTCTCCTCCCCTGCTTCCCTCATAGACTGGCATGTTTTCAGAGGACTGCTGGAGTATGGCCAGCAGTTTCTGACACGAGGGTGTGTAGCCTAGTCTGCTACTACTGCTCTGGCAGTCATTCCAAGCTCCAGCTTTGTGTGGGGGTACCACACCATCTGAAGCTAGATTTGTGGTCGTCCTGCCTGCATTCTTTCTCCTGTTCCACTGTTGTTTCTATTACCTCTAACTAGCCAGTCTCTGGTAAGATGAGGGACTGGCTTCCTGAGGAGCAGGCTGAGGTGCCTCCTGATGGCTGTCTATCCATTTGCACACCTGTATTCTGGTCTCTAGGCACTGTCTTACTCTGTGTTTACATCTGACATAGCTACTTAGTTAAAGCCAACATAAAGCAAAGCTAGTAGTTCCAGTTTCTTAGGAAGGAGACTTGGCAGGAGAATCACTCATGTGAGGATGTGAGTTCAGTACTAGCTTGAACAACATAGTGAGACCTTGCTCCTACAAAGTAAAAAACAAAACCATAAAGTAAAACACTGGGTAACCACTGTAAGGAAAAATTAGTTTTATATATATTAGGGGGTGATACATAGAGGGCCCTGGGAAATTGTGGAACATTTAGACCTGGGTATTTCTAGTTATCTGTGGCTATTGCTGTACCCTATAAAGCGGTAGGCTGCTGAGAATGCTGAGCGAGTGAGCATTCCAGTGATCTTTCAGTGGGGAGAGCTCTCTTGGCTCAGGGCATCCTTCATATGGAGGCTCCACTCAGGCATCTACCCCATAGGAGCCACAGACTTTAGGAAGCCTTGCTGCTGGTGGTCTGTTTGTTGCAGGAAAGTGGGGGTGGAGTGGGCCGGTGGAGAGGAGGAGGCTTCATTGTCTTGGCTAATAGCTTTCCCATTTGTCCTCATCTGGATCTCCTGAAAGCTGCTCGGCTGGGTGGTACCTGGGTCCAGGTCTCAGGACTGTGAGTCATGGTGTCCAGCACAGTGGCAAAGCACTGTCTACCCCCCTATGGAATCCCCTGCATGGCTCCCTAGTACCAGGGAAAGGTTCTCCTGTCTGGATATTTGTGACTCCTTTCCACCTTTGCTTTCTCCTTTCACAGGTAAGAATAAACGAGTTGGGAAACAATTAGCCTCTCAGAAAATCCTTCAGCTGCTGCATCCACATGTCAAGAACTGGGGATCCTTACTGCGCATGTATGGCCGTGAGAGCAGCAAAATGGTGAAGCAGGTAACCAGACAGGTTGTTCAGCAGATGCTGTGCTTCCCTGTTTCTTGCTTTGGAGCTCATATATAGGGGTTTGCTGTCAAGGTTAGGCTTAGCACTGCTTTTGATTATGATTGTCTCTCCTTTGTTGTGCCAGTGATTGTGTAGACTGGGGGTGGGGGCACCCAAGCTACATCTTCCTTTTGAATCTGCCAAACTTTAAGTATGAGCTGTTAGAAGACATGCCTAGGACTGCCACACACCAGACAGTAGATGTAGGCAATGACCACCACCTGGTGTTGAATTGTGTGAAGGCTTGGGAGCTGTCCTTTGCCAGTTTCCAAGACCGGTGTATCCTTGTTTAGTTGAAGATCCCAGTGGCTTACGGAATATGAGTATTGCCTGTTTTGTTTCTGTGGCTTTTACCCAGTTCTCAAAATTTAAATCAATCTTCAAACCTAATGGGTGTGGGGAAGTACTCTGAAGTGGGTATTGGCTATTTCTTTTTTGAAGTGCTAGGGATGGAACCCAGAACCTTGTACATGCTAGACAAATGCTCTACTACTGAGCAACATCTCCAGCATATTTTACATTTTCTCTTAATATGTCTATAAACTACCTGGATCATCAGGATCCCATTATTTAGAGGAGTATAGGTAGTGACCCTGAAGACTGCTGTGGACCCTTGAGCCAGTGGTATGGAGCAGTGCAGCACCCCTTTAGGTTCTGCCCTTGCTCTGGGCTGGCAAGGCAGGGGTCCAGGAGCCACATGGAGAATATAAACAATAAGGCTCCTTCTTTTCTTGATTACTCCCTCTTCCTACTTCTGGGGATTGTATCTAGGGCTTTGTGTAAACTAAGCAATGGCTGTATCACTGAGCTGCATCCCCAGCCTGAATAGAAGCATTTTCTGTGAGTTGAAATGTAGGTGCAGTATTTGCTGTACATAGTCCTGGGATGAGACAGAGGGAACATTGCTGCAGCCATGGGCAGAGGCTTCCTTCACCTGAAGAGTGAATGGCTCTTGCCTGGCACAGGAGCTCTGGCATGCCAAGACACTGTGAGCATCCTTGGCCATGGCCTCGAAGGCAATAACGGACCAAAGAGAACGGCTGGGCAGGCTGTTATGTGTTATGTCTCATTTGGCTTCAGCCATGCCCTTGCCACTGTCTGAGGGTTCTTAGCACAGTGAATGCTTGACTTTCATACTCAGCCAGTAAACACAGAGGTATGATCATGGACAAAGGGACAGAGTTTCTGGGGAATGCCAGGGAGACCAGGGCTGTGCTTAAATCCTGTATCTTTCAGCAGCCAAGGCCTCATTACAAGTGGGCTACTGGTGAGCACTTCTGTGCTCCACCAGACCCTTACGCTCCTGTTTTGGGTGGTCACAAGCACACTGCTGCTTGGCAGTTCTGATAGCAGGCTTTGGGTCCCTAGGAGACCTCTGACAAGAGTGTGATAGAGCTACAGCAATATGCCAAGAAGAACAGGCCCAACCTTCACATCCTGAGCAAGCTGCAAGAGGAGATGAAGAGGCTGGCTGCAGAGCGGGTGATTATCTCCCTTTCTCACTTCTCCCCCAAGCCACCTGCCTTCCTACCCCCTAAACTCACCATCTACTGCTGCAATCCCCTGTACTGTTTCTGTCCATACCACAGACTTAGTCATCAGGATTGCTGGGCCAGCTCATTCCTTGTAGCTAGATCTTAGGAGCCCCTTTCTGATCCTTGACTCTGGAGTCTCTTAATTCCTCCTTCCAAATGAAGTTGGCATTATTTCTTCTTCTTCTTCTTCTTCTTCTTCTTCTTCTTCTTCTTCTTCTTGTTTTTTTTTTTTTTTTTTTTTTTT